CCAAGATTATACAAATATAAAATTCACTTTACTGTGCACATACTCATTACTTTACATAGATATACACAAGTAAGCGTCTCATAGATAAAGAAGATGCATGAAAGATTGCGTTTTTGTAAAGGCTACGTTAGGATCAGTGCATTAAACTGAAAATAGAGTTAAACACATTTTATTTAACTAATATAAACACAGTTTTGTTGCACTGATGCATGCAAAAAAAGTCTTCTCCAGAGCACCTGTCACATCTTTTATCTATCAGCTTGTACATTTTAAATCCACTTTTTTCTTTTGCCCTTCCACAGTATGTCCAAACACTACTGCCTGCAATTTATTCACCTATCTTACTTCCGTCTGCTGCAGAATGACTCCATTCCCCAGGAGGACTTCACTCCAGATGTCTATAGCATGTTCCTGAGCAACATCTGCCCTCGGCCTGAGCTGGACCACATCTTCTCTGAAGTGTAAGTACTGTGTTTCTCTCTGCTCTCTCTGTGTGGTAATAATAACCTTTTCCACCTCCAAAGAATATGGGAATTCCCAGTTTAAAATGTCCAAAAAAATCACAATTGATATATTTTTTTCCCAAATCATCTGTTGCTTTTTTCATACTTGTAGCCTCGATAGGAAAATTTGGTTTCCCAGGTTCAAGCCAGATCCTTTTACCCATTGATAAGACGTTAATTAGCCCAGGAAAGTGTGTTCTAATGTCCCTGGTTGTGACTTCTCGAGCCTAGCTGGTTTGGCCTCTGGTGCTGCAGAAGCAGAACTGCCCTTTGGCCCAGAGGGACTGAGACCATCAGCCGAGGAAGCACGCCAGCTCGACCGACGCTACTCCAAGTCATAAATCTGTATTTTAATCACAGTTAAGTGAGGTAGCAGGAGAGCCAGGAGGATGTGGAGAAGATAATTTAGTCGAACAGGCTTGGATGCGAAAGCCGTTTTTAATGAATTCTCATAATTTACTCAAAACACAACATTTATTCCTGTTGTTTTGCATGTCTGCCGCTCTGCCTCGCCGCGTCTTTTTGCACTTTAATTACAGCTCCTCCCCTCCATCGTTTTTTCCTTGTTTCATTTCCCCATATGCTATTTTTTAATCCCGTCCTTGCACCCACACCTTGCTTAGCAGCCCTTTAAGATGTTTTGTCTAATTTTTTTCTGCCCCATTCCTTTCTCTGCTCAGGGGAGCCAAGAGTCGACCATACCTCACAGTGGAGCAGATGACAGAGTTCATTAACAGTAAACAGCGAGACCCTCGTCTGAACGAGATACTCTACCCTCCTCTCAAACCAGAGCAGGTCCAGCTGCTGGTTGACAAATATGAACCCAATGCTTTGCTGGCACAGAAAGGTCAGTGGCTCAAATTTCTGTCAATACAATCCCAGGCACACTGACAAGCTTATGTGTACACAGACATGCACGTAACACCTTTTAGTACAGATCGACTTCATGATAGCATGCAAGTGATTTATAGTAAAAACTATCGGAAAAACACCGGCACATTATGCCCGTTGTATGTTTTTACACCGTCCTCCTCCACTAACCCTGCACTCCAGCCACTGCCACCAATAAATTTGTCAGGGGTGTTGCCATAGAGACTGCTGGATGGTATCCAAAGCTTTTGCAAGTGAGGGGACATAGTGGGGTGCCAAGGAGTCTGTAAATACCAAACACTCACAGTCAAACACACATCACCGCCATCAAAATGTTCCACCTGTTCCCAACTTGTGCTAAACTTACTGGAGGAAATTTCCCAACGTTTTATTTTATATAACCGACTACACTGCTTGGAAAGATGAAGAAGACGATGTGTATGAATTGTGTTGAACAAAATAGAATAAATAGCAAGCGGAGCAGAGCAGAGGATGTGTGTAGCAGTGTTGAACGTATTCAGATGTTATGCATGCGTCCGGTGTTTGGGAGTCAGTTTACAGCGTCTTCATTCAGCAGTGCTTTTCTGTGGTTTTTGAATGAGCAGTGAATCTTTCTGCTAGCTTGAACCTGTTTCTAAACTGAAATCTTTGCAAGAATAAACATATGGCCCAATGTGTCTGTTAGCCAGTGTTGGGAAGGTTACTTTTAAAATGTATTCCATTACAGATTACATGCCCCAAAATGTATTCTGTAACGTATTCCGTTACGTTACTCAATGAGAGTAACGTATTCTGAATACTTTGGATTACTTAATATAT